CCATATATATGTATATATATGTGGATATATATATAATTTTTTTTTAATTATTTAGATCCCAAATTGCACAGAGTCACTTAGCTCCTACAATGTGAGAGCCTCTTCCTCACATTATTTCATGTAATTGTCTTAACGAATGAGGCAGTTACTCTTCTCTATATTACACAGGAGGACCACCCGATGCTCCAAAAGTGAGCTGCCCCAGGTCTCACAGCAAGTTGTTGGCCAAACTAGGATTGAACTGAGATCTTAGGACATGGTGCCCAGTGCTACTTTTATATGACACTAAGCCTCTGGAAAGGTAGAAAGATATGACTGACAGTCTTGGTTTCCCCACATGAAGCCTCTGGGGTCCTTGGGGAGGCAGGCTATGTAAAGTGTTCGATACATGGATGGTTGGGCTTTCCACGGCTCTAATTTCGTGACTGGCTTTATGTCTATGCCACCCTATGAGTGGGAGGGGAGATCATGGTAACACTGCCTTAACCACTGAAAACTTCTTGTTTCCTTGGTTTGTTACTTTTCTGTTCTTCATCATTTTGTCATGAATTGAGTGAAGGCGTTTTATTTTTTAAAAGTTATATTAACCAGGGTATCTGGGTGGCTTAGTGGGTTAAGCATCTGCTTTCAATTCAGATCATGATCCCAGGGTCCTGGGATTTAAGACATTTTAAGGAGAGTACTTAATAAAATATTACATTAATATATGATGTTAAATGATAAATATTATAATATTCATTTTATATTTATTTATAATTTATAATGAAATATTGTGTAAAATTCTCCAAGAATAGACTGCTGGGTCTTTGTAGATCTAGAAATCTCAAAATACATGGGTGCCCCTACTAATTCTTTGATGAACGGAAATATGAACTCTAGTATATTCTAATCAATTCCACTTTGCCCAAGGATCCTGTGATAGGTAATCCATAGCTGCCATTGCCAACACAGTCCATTTTTTCTTGTCAATAATTTTCTTTGCATCTCCAATCTAAAATTCAGAATACAGCAATAAACTAGCTTTTTACATTATACATCATGCAATAATCTATGTGATTACTACTAAGAAATATGAATACGAAAACATGCATATAGACATTGGCAACTAATAATTTTCAATGGAATGGTTTATTTAACAAATGGCCTAGTAAGTTGTATTGGTAATTCAAACTGGGGTTTGCTGTACATGGTCAAGTGCTAAATTATGCTTATGTTTACTTTTTTGTTCCTAAGAATAATGATAGCTAGACTGTAGGCCCTTTAAAGGCAGAGATAGATTGTATTTTACATTTTATTGGTAACAACCACAGCATGAGAAACAGAATTGATTATGAAGTAGGTATTCAATAAATACTTGTTTGGTTTACTGATTTGCTTATGCATCTTTCTGGTGTTGACAAATAAATTATCAGAACAAAAACAGAAGTGAGGATATTAGTAAATCTACCAATTCCTCTCTCTGTAGCTATAAATGTCAATGTGCAAAGGATGTATATTAAACAGGGGTTCTTAACCTCAGTTTCAGAGGGGATTCCTTTAACTCCTGAAATTTTATTCAAAAAAAATTTTTTTTATCTTCAAATGTTCACTTTCATGAGGAGAGGATACATCGCTTTCTTCAGCTTCCAGGAAATCCATAACTTTATCATAAACTATTAAAAACCAGTGGTATTTCATATATTCGCCCGTACCCTAAATGTCAGCACTGATGATGACAAAAACCTGTTTACTTTGCTTTTTTTCTCTGATTTTTTTTGGTTCTTTCTCTGATTTTTGACTTTCCTACGATGCCTGATCTTTAGTCATAATTAAGCTGCCCTAAGTAATGCCAGGAATAAAGCAATGTATAAAAACATGAATGCAAACAGCATAACTTGAGCCTTCTCCTTGTTCCCATGCTATACTCTGTGTACCGAGTTGGCACTTTGTGTCCAGGTGCAGGTCAAGGATTCTTATCATATAAAACTCTAATGGACTAAGTGATCTGGGACCTAATTATTGGGGAAATTACCTGTCTCCTTATGTGTGCTCACAACTACTAAAATCAACAGCAGCACTTCAGCTAACGGTTCCTGCCTCCTCACTTCAGAGAATTTGGGGCAATTTGCTCCCAGCATGAGGAGTTGACTTTGGAATTCATGATACATCTCACCTAAGCCTAAATTTACCAGTTCAGAGGTAGAAAACATTTGTTTTTTATTTAGAATGACAGAATACATTAGTTAGTTGTGGTCAAATCAGGTTAAAGTGTTTCTCTGCATACCCCACCTTTCCCCAATACTGTGTTTTTAAGAAAGTTAATGTTTGACTAGTTTATTGCCCTGCTGCAAATTGAAAAAAAGCACTTATGTTAAGGAGCAAGGCCTTTTTAGGAAGAAAAATAGGACCTTTATGAATATGCTATTGATTCTCAGTCCAACTTATAATCACATGTAACAGTGAATCTCTTAGTAGCACATTTTATTATTTAGTGTTTAAGTAGCTTGAGGACCTAAGATTTATAGCATTTTAATTCTAGCTGTTCCTCCAAACTTTTATCTTTAAGTGGGTCATAAACACTATATATCTTACGTTGTTATCCTTTCTATTGTTTATCTTTTAAACTAACATAAATTAAGATTGCTACAAGCCTACATTCTTATTTTTAAATATTGGCTTCTTATAAATGTATTTATTTTTAGAAAGACAAGACTGCCCCCTTTGGTGGTCATCAGAGAAGTTAAAACTTTGTTACATTCTTCTGTCTCACGCAGTAAGACAAGCACTTGGGAAGCCTAAAGGCAGCTTTCTAAGGAAAACAAAGCTTTAAAATTATTTTGGAAGATTTTAACTCATGCCTATTTTAAAGGTTGGCTGTCAAGAATCTATTTGGGGGTGTCAGAGTTTTTCTGTTCCCCCTGCAAGTTCTAGAGCTTCCTTTCAAGTTAAAATTTTAAATATCATATATTTGTGTTCAACATAAAAAAGCATACGAATTCCATATCACAACAAATGGCTCCTAAGAAGACTGTAAATTGAGGGACAGAAGAGAAGTTATTTAAAGGAATCCCCACTAGAGAACACATTGGCAGCTCCCAAATAAACCCATTTTAATTTTCACTTTATTTCAGTTATATTTCAAAGCTATGATATCATGAGTGGAGACAGAAGCAGCTCATAGAAGAGCCCGAGTTCAAAGGAATTGGAATTTAGCATGGAAGGTAAAATTGAGGACTTTTACTTCTAAGACGATGATTGTAGAAATACCAAGGTGGAAGGATGTGGGCTTGGTGCTGCAGCAGAAATAGTCGTCTGGGGTGACCCTGCATATATTGGCCAGTGTCCACCAAGTAAATCTCTTTACAAGAGAAAAGCTTGTAACTGGCAAGCTAGTAGAAACATTCATTTCTCTGAAAACTTTTTTCCTGTCCTGCTGTTCTAAAAGGGACATTATAAATTGCTAATGAACAGTGACTTTCACATTTTAAGAGGTTAGATTCCCCCAGCACTGAAATAAAGCATGTTTTAGCCTTCTTACACCCAGGATATCCCATTGGGTTCCCTGCAGAGTGCTCTCTTCTTGCACCCTTTGGTAAGGCTGCACAGTGGGTCAGTATTCCCTGTAGTCTTTTTTTACACTGGGGCTCTGGCTGCCAGAGGGGAAAATAGCCACACACAGGGAAATGGTGCAAGTTAAAATCAAGTAAGCCTAGTGGGATGGTAATGAGTTTCCCAGCATCCAAGTCTTTGCCTTCAGGATACGTGAAGCTAGAAAACAATGTCATTCATTTAACATTTATAGAAAACACACAATGTACGTGGTACAGTGCTAAGTACTGGAGGGTATGCAAAAGTATGAGAAACACAAACCCTGCGCTAAGGAATCCTGCCAAGAAGGGTATTTTCTTTTTTTTTTTTTTTTTTAAGATTTTTTATTTATTTATTTGAGAGAGAGAATGAGATAGAGCATGAGAGGGGGGAGGGTCAGAGGGAGAAGCAGACTCCCTGCCGAGCAGGGAGCCCGATGCGGGACTCGATCCCGGGACTCCAGGATCATGACCTGAGCCGAAGGCAGTCGCTTAACCAACTGAGCCACCCAGGTGCCCCCAAGAAAGGTATTTTCAAGTATTATTCAGACCTTATGATCTTTCAAGAAATTCTTGGGTGAATAAAATTGCACTTATAATTTAAAATAAGCATGGAAAAGAATACTGCTAGGACGATATGTCTTTTAGGAGGGAGGGTGTGTAAAATGTTTAAAATTTTTATTTCTAAGGTATATAACAGTGTGGCTTGGATGAACGAAGGAGGGTGGGGTTTAATAGGCCAAGAGCGGCCCCACGATGGCCGCACGGGCCGCTTCCTGGCGGAGCCTGACTTTAAAGAGGCAATGCTCGGCTGCCTGCACAGTTAGCTGAATCCGAACAAAGAAAAGACCGGCACTTTTACCTGGGAAGTGGATTAACTTTGAGGAAAAGTGGCCTCCGGGGAGAAAAAGAGGCAGCATTGCACCGGGAGTAAGAAACGCCCTCCCTTCCTCCGGACCGTGCAAGCTCACCTCACCCGCCACAGACCTCACTCTTGCTCCCCACCCCGCATCCCTACACAGAAGAGGCGGTGGGCCGCACTCGGTGGGGTGGGCCCATCGCCCACTCCCACTCCCGCAGCGCTTGCACACGCGGACTCCAGCCAGTAGTCGGCCACGTGCGCCCGGCTCCTCTGCTCGGCCCCTTAGTGGGCCGAGAGACTCCAAGGTTGCAGTGGCAACCGTGGGGTCCTGATTTCTGTTCCCCCGCGCACAGCCAAAAAGTCGGGACGGCGGCGGCGGTGGCGGGAGCTAGCGGCTCGGCCCCTCCCTACAGCGGGCAGCACGACCGAGGGCTGCGGGCACCGCCTCTGCTGCATCCGTGGCTGCGCGCTCCGCTCGGCCCAGACCCGCTCCGATCCAGAGCCCGCTCGCCGTGCTGCCTTCCCTTCCCTCTCTGCCGCCGCCCCGCGGGCAGCTCCCCCCGGCGAGACGCGTGTTCGATCCTCCTTCTCCGGCTTTACGGATTTCCGGGGGCAAAGAATTTTGCCTCGGTCCCTACGAGCATCTCTTGGCCTCTCTCCCCCTCCCCTCGCGACTCCCCCACCTCGTGGGCGCGCGCGCGCACACTCACACACATTCACACTCGCAGGCGCGCGTGCGCACGCCCGCACGCCCGCGCGCCCCGAGCCGCGGAGTCTTCAGCAGATCCCACTCTCTCGGGCGCCGCTACTCACACAGGCTTCCAGTCGCCACGGGGCGTCCTCTGTCTGCGGCAGCGGCGGCGGAGGCAGCAGAGGGAACCGCAGCGGCAGCCTGGCCGCGTCTTGCAGCTTCGTGCTCGGGACGGAGTCGGGGAGAAGCGGAGAAGGAGGACGCCGAGGCGAGGAGGAGCCGCGCCGCGCCCAGCGCCCGGCTCCCGGCTCCGCGCGGCGGGCTGCCCCCGCTCCCGGTACCGCGGCTCCAGGTAAGCAAGCAGCTCCGGGGCCCGCAGCATCCCTGGGGTGTCCGGGCTTGGAGCCGGGGTTCCCCGGTCCCGCCCCCGCCACGGCCCCGGGACAGAGGCTTGGAGGGGAGTGGGCTCTGGGGAGGGGGAGGGGAATGGAGCTAGAGGTGAGGCTGGTGGGGAGGGGTCCTTGGAAGCTTGGGGGCTTCCGCGCAGCCCCCCGCGCCCTTCCCCGCTCTATCCCAGCTCCAGCACTATCACTTTTACGAGCTAGGGGGTGCCCGGCGCCCCAGACTGCTGTTCCCCGCTCTCCCCGCCGCCGCCAGCCGGTGTTGGCTCCGGGTCCGCGCCCGCCGCGCGCTTCCCACCTCCCCTGCACCTTGGACAGCGCACCCAGCGGCTCGCCGCCCCCTGCACAGCACCTGGGACGGCGTCCTGCTAGCGCAGCCCTCCCGCTGCCCTCTTCCTTCCCGATTGTCACCCTCCCGCCCTGCGTTCCTTGTCCTCACTGTCTTGGCGGACTCCGCTGTGGTGCGGGCCGGAAACTTTACTCCCCTTCTCCTCTGCGCTAGGTACTGTTGTTATTTGTGACTGTCCCCTCACACGGTGAACTCAGACACCTTGGACGTGTCTTCCTCGGCGGGATCATGTCCTGGCCCGCCGAGTCCGAGGCAGAGGAGGCACTGGGCAGCTGGACTCGGTGGCTGCCAGGGTGCAGAGCCCGCGCCTCAGGTCCTGGACGCCTGCCGCCTCCCCGCCTCCCTGCCTCCCTGCCTCCCTGGACTCGACACGTGCGCGCCTCCCACGGACGCGGCCCCTCCCCGACCACCCCACGTCCTCCCCCCTGCACGACCACGGCCACCCCATAGGTTGGACACCCGGAGTTCGCAGGTTCTGATTGGCTGAAGGCGTAACTCCGCCTCCTTCCCGGAGGGGGTGGTTCTGGAGTGTTGTGGTTGTCATCCCGCGGCGCGCACATGGGGGAAGTGGGGTCGACAGGTGGGGAAGCTGGGTAGGATCCTCCGCTGTGTGTAGTCCCTCACCCATCCTCCTTCCTCCAAATACACTCCTGCTTTTCTCCCTTTCTCTTTCTCAGCATTCTGCTGTAAGTAAAAAACAACACAAAAACTGGCTTGTAGCCCTACTTTTATTAATATTGCATTTGTTCCGTGGTAGAGGTTTTTAAAGCATATCTAGGAGAATGAGGGAAACAAGTGCGTATGCGGAGGTTCGTGGCAAACTGGGCTGCAGGTTTGAGTCCACTAGTTCGGAGAAAGTAATGGGTGGCTAAGAGAGCTGAAGAAGATGGAGAAAGTGGGATGGTAATTGTTCCTTGTTAGAAGGAAGGACACAGGTGGGTGAGCTTGGGAAGCTGAGGGAGAAAAAGTGGGTCGTTTGTGGGGTGAAATGTGAAGGAGAAACTCGGATGGGCACTCCTGGGAGGCGGGTGGGTTCTGCTGAGGAAGACTGTCCCAGAACGGGGTAGTTTTGGATAATACTTAGTTCATTATTAGCACACTTTGTTTCTGTTTTGCTAGCTCTGTCCTTTTGATATGAGACTTTATCTCTTAATAATGTCAGTCCATGTAATGGATTTTGTTTATTCCAGTTTCTTGTAATATATAGATTTGCAAGTGGTAATGAATTCAAAAAGTGAATTTTAAAAGTTCTTTAGAGGGATGCACTAAATAGTTAAGGCAAAGTGCTTTTGAAATATTGTGAAAGAAGACGGATGAGCATTGCATAAAATCCAAAGATTGTTCTGGCGTTATTTAGGTCCTTTGCAGAAATATATATGTATGCATAAATGATACTGATTTCTCTTCATTTCAAAACGTGATTGCCTCTAGTATTTTCAAGCTTTAATTCCTTCAGGCTGTTTTGATGTTGTGTCTGTACATCTAAGAATATTGTAATTCTTATCTTTAGAAACCTTGTCAATGCAAAACAAACAGCAACTGAGGCAAGTTAATGTTGACAACTTTATATTGAGTACACTGTGTGTTATTTTATTTGCGAGTAGTGAAATATGCAAGAATAACATAGCATGACTGTTATTCCCCAGGGACCCATATCAAAACAAAGTGGGAATCGCATGAGACTGTTCCAGGGAGAACAACTCAATTATTTTAAAAATGAATGTATTTTAAGATTCTTGGGTGTAAACAGCAACCGAATTTTCCCATTTCAGTTATTATCTTTGTACCCAGTGGTAGCACATAAGTCATACAGCATGTTAAATATATTAGGTAATTCCAAAGTAGATAGTAAAGTCTTTCCATTTATTATTATTTTTATGTAAGTAGACAGAATTGCTTTCTGACTGTAGGACTTTGTATTCAAGGGACAGATTTGATACATCTGGCAAACTGGAAATTACTGCTATTGTTGAAAATACAATTCTTAGTATGTTTTCATATCCCTAGGTCATGCCTTGATTTGCCTTCAAGGGATTCAGAATCTAGTTTTTGGCCTCTCAAATTTAGACAGGTTTTGAGGTAGGTAGAAAAAGAATGTATATAGTCACACACATACATACGCATAAATGCAAAATATATGTATGTATATCCACACACAGCTATATATGTATATACATAATTTGGGGATACATTCAGTGTATTTATTTATATATATGTTATTGTCATTCTTAAATTTTCTCATTTCTGCTTGTCCAAAAGGTGGCCCTGTTTTTAAACTGTAGAAAGCATTATCACCAGTAGAACTGGCCGATAGATCATGGAAACAGACAATAGTATTTTGTTGCTTGGCAACCACCTACAGTGAATGAAAAACAAAGCAGTGACAGCTGCTTCCACATCCTGACACCCATACTGTAGCTCAAGCACTGAAACCCTCCACGTGAGACAGCTCTAAGTTTCATTTGAGTAAGGTGAAGCTGTTTGTTTTTGGGGATGATTTTAAAGAGAGTATTTAAAATTTTTATTATAATAAGAATTATATTGTTATTGTGGGATGAAATGAAGCATCTAATTTCAATTGCCCTCTTAAGCCTAGTCTAAACTGAAAAATGCAAGATTGAGAGGATTGTTTAGACCCTTCTCATTCTTCCCTTTATAGTCACTAAACACTGTAAGCACATTTTCTGCTACCGTCAGGTGCTCCTAGGATTTTACAAAAACTTGAGTTCTCTATGATACCTAAATAGATAGCTGGATTTTACTGCTAGCAGGGAATTAGAGATTCATGCTCTGGCCTAACTCTCTCATTTTATGGGACACTGAGGCACAGTGAGGTGATGTGACTTGACCCTGGTGACTGAGCCATCTCTAGAATGTCTTCCTTTGGGTGACACTTGGAAATTTTTTCCATTTCCTCCCTGAAATTGTTCTTGAGTTACATAAAACATATAAAAAAAGATTTTTATCCTAATAAAGATACTTAGAAAATACAGTAATATTTGGGAGTAAATATTTAGTATTGACACTAGGCTAGATTATGGTGTTAGATGCATTGTATATCATGTATTCTGCCTCCAATCTATGGAAGTCCTGTGATTCCCACCTCTTTCTCCAAACTGGGGAAGCCCTGTCCCTTGCTTTGGTAATTGTTTACACCTTTGTGTAATCTTTAATGATCCATTATTTTCCGTGGGAATTTTAAATGGGGATAAGATTGAAGATTGTGTTGGTCAGCTTTTATACCAGTGAGAGTTTAAACATTACAGCTAATTAATCACCCGTTCTGGTCTTCTGTCGGCAACGTGGTAGACGTGCTGTGGGTGTAGTGATTTGGGCTCTTTAAAGTACATGGGACACTGGGGCGCCTGGGTGGCTCAGTCGTTAAGCTTCTGCCTTCGGCTCAGGTCATGATCCCGGGGTCCTGGGATCGAGCCCCACATCTGGCTCCCTGCTCCGCGGGGGGCATGCTTCTCCCTCTCCCACTCCCCCTGCTTGTGTTCCCTCTCTTGCTGTGTCTCTCCCTGTCAAAAAAAAAAAAAAAAAAAGTACATGGGACACAGTACTGTGTCTCTGCATAGTATTCATTTTAGTCTTTTATCAAAGCTGTCTTGCCAAAGGTACTACCTGTAGCATGTTGGTGGAGGACGAGTCATCTATCTGTAAGAGATGGTAATAGTGCCCATTGTTTCTTAACTCAATAAAATGATAATGAATAAATTATTGGGTGACAAACTTGGATCCCATATGCATTATTAAGCATTTCTTCTAAACTAAGGGTATGTATTGCCTGTGTGATACATTTTGAGGTTCCTTGTGCTATTTTAAACAATGTATTTCATGTTTATTATTTATGTCAAAGATAGGCATTTAGGAGCGCCTGGGTGGCTCAAGTCGGTTAAGCCGCTGCCTTTGGCTCAGGTCATGATCCCGGGGTCCTGGGATCGAGCCCCGCATCAGGCTCCCTGCTCAGCGGGAAGCCTGCTTCTCCCTCTCCCTCTGCCTGCCTCTCTGCCTACTTGTTCTCTCTCTCTCTGTGTCAAATAAATGAATAAAATATTAAAAAAAAAAAGATAGGCATTTAACTTTAATGTAACAACTTAGGTAGAAAAACTTGAAGTGGCCTGGTTGGAGAAACAATAAAGTGACAGTATTAAGTATCACTGAAGAACCATTTTCACCAGAAAAGCATGCACTTTAGCAGATTTGTAGTGGGGGAATAAATTGATTTACAGCATGTTTAACGTAGTTTTAGAAGCCTGCTATTAACTTGTTCTAGCTAGGAAGATTTTTTTTTTTTAATAGATTTTATTTATTTATTTGACAGAGAGAGACACAGCGAGAGAGGGAACACAAGCAGGGGGAATGGGAGAGGGAGAAGCAGGCTTCCCGCGGAGCAGGGAGCCCGATGCGGGGCTCGATCCCAGGACCCTGGGATCATGATCTGAGCCGAAGGCAGACGCTTAACGACTGAGCCACCCAGGCGCCCCGCTAGGAAGATTTTCAAGCAGAATAATAATTTGGCAGATTTCAAGTGAGTTTCGCAGATTTTTAAAACTATTTTCCACAGTCTGGTTATAGTTTGTCCAGGGCAAGTACCTGTTT